ATCCGCCAGCAAGGACGGCTATTAGTATGAGCAGGGTGAGTAAGAGTAACTGCTTATGACTCATTTTTAAAAATATTAGTCCATTATCATTATTAAAATTTAAATTTTATTTTCTATTTTCTATTTTATTATTATTATTATTCAATTCAAGCAGAGTCCATTCACTCAGACCAAAACTCACTTCTCCCTCTTTTCCTATTTTCTCTTTCATTTTTTCTCAGTTTTTCTCACTATTCAAGCCTTCAGACGAAACGCCCTTAATTCGATTTCTATTTTTTTTCTCCCGAGTCAACACCATCATCAGACCGTTGCCTTTCAACTTCTTGTTTAACCAACGCTTTATAGGGCCTAAGATTTATTTTTGCTCAGGGCCCCGAAAAAGATCGAGACGGCTCTGTCCGCCACCCGTAACTCTATTCGCTATAGCATTCTGAGGCCTTAGTATCAACAATATATAACTCATTCCTATAGGTGAACAGCTTATTCAATCAAAAGTTTTTTTGATTTTTTTTTTTATTTTTGTTTTTTAAAATTATTTTATTTTTGCATGTAATTGCAACCATATTACTAAAAACCTCAATCAAAGATGACGTGTTCTAGTTTCCGCAAACTAACTAACACATGTTACAAACATATTCCCGCCATTTTCTTTCTGCCTCCCCACAAACAGACTAAGCGGTGTTATATTGAAATATAAATACGCAAATTTACGCAACTAACTAATCTGTTACGCAGTTTCTCCCCTTCTCTTCTCTGTTAAGCAGTTATCCTACTTGACGACCAAACAGCCATGAATGCAGAGGAACCTCACGTCGAAGTTGTGAAGGCCACCACCAACAACAACAACGGCAGTAATATTTGTAGCATCGTATCGTGCAGAGAATTGTCGTCCAGAGCACCCAAAAGTTTTTTGAGGAGGAACTACGATGCTGCTATTGGATCATGGTATATGCAACTAATGCTTTATTCATTGTTGTAGGCGTGTGTAAAGTAGTTTGTATGCATATTTATATCTATATAAATTCACAGGGCAGAGGGCAAGTCCCTCGGGAATTTATCGAGCTCATTCTGCAGTCTAGCGCCTCCACCCGAAGTAGAAGAAAAGAAAGTGAAGTCGACAACCTTCAATGCGGATGGAACAATGCTTGCGGCGAATCTGTTAGTTTATTATTTTCTCTTCGTGTGCATTTGGAAAATTCAATTTAGCTTGCCAAAATTGTTTCGTACGCTGTTAATATATAACCTGTCTATACCATCTTATGATTCTTCCTTAATTAATTGTTCATACAAATTCTTCTTTCTCAATTTTTTTGTTCTTTGTTTAAATCTTGTCTTTTACAATTAACCATTTGAAATTTGTATCTTTCGTTTGATTATTTAAAATGTATACTTATTTGCAGGGTATTAGGCTCGGCCAAGTTTACCCAGTACACATTTTCGAATAGCGGCCGCAGATTCACGTTGTAAAAAAAAAAAGTACTTATTTGTATGGTAAATGTTCATGTGCTTAGAAACATAAAAGTATGTCGAGTTCAAGTGTAACCAAAATATTTTGCAAGAATGACTGTATAATGTAATTCTCTTTCTCAAGAAATAACAGAAAATAAATCAAAATTAGACGAATAACCAGAGGACAATGAACAAGAAACATGGTGCAGTGCAGGCAAAGGCTATGATGTTTTAATTAGGGTAAATGTTTTAGAAAATTGTATACTATTTTATAACAATAATACTAAATTTATAATTAAAAATATTCTATACTATTCTATAAAAATAAAAATAATACTAAATTTATAATTAAAAATATTCTATATTATTCTATACTAGTAAATAATGAAGAATGTATAAATTAATTACAATATAATACAAATAATTATATATTTAGATTATAATAACTAATTAATTTAATAAAAATCAAATAAATTATAAATTATAAAATTTATAATACGATTGAAATATATAATTCTATTTTTTTTTAAAAAAAAAATAATGGACGAACATAAAAAAATGTGGGGGCCTAAAGGAATATCAATACTAATAAAAATTAAATAATTATTAGTGATAAAAAATAAAAATTTTTTGTGTTGACACAGATAATTTTTTTTTTTCTCATCAAAATAATGACTTTTTTTTTTTTATAAATTTATCAATTTTAAACACAATAATAAATATAAATAAATTTTAAGACCTATTCAAAATTTCTTTATTTCTATCTCTTCTTAATTAAAAATATTTCTATCTTTAAACCTTCCCATATTTGTATAAAACTAAATTATGTTAATTATAAATAAATATTTTATTTTATAAAATTTTGACGAAGGAGCATAATATTATTTTTGTATATTAATATTTTAAATTTATAGTACTAATATTATATAATTATATCTGGTTTAAATATATTATTATTCAATATATTAATATTTTTTAATTATTTTTATTTAATATTTAAGTTAAATATTTATTAATGGTTTGTTTGTCAAATATTTTTCTTATATGATTTTCAATATATATATTTTATATTTTTACAAAAATAAACATTCAAAATAAAATATTATTATTATTATTTATTTATTTTAATAACACAATACAATTCTATTTACTTCATATAACAATAATCAAATAAAAATACTAAACAAAAAAACTCTAAGTTTGTTCGGATTATTTTAATTACAATCTAATAAATTATTATTTATATAATTTTTATACAATATATAAATAAAAAAAATATATCTAAACAAAATCAAAATTGTCAGGTATTGAATAAAGGATGTGTTTGTATTGTGAAATAGTTGGAAAGAATTTTTTTTTACGAGGTCTAGAGAATTGTATAGAAATTATAAAAATAATAAATGTCTATATATAGTCAATTAAGATTTTATAGGATTCTATTAGATTTTTTAAAATTCGGCGGTATTCAATTCAAATTTTTAGAAGTATTTTAAAATACAGAGGTATTCAGTTCAAACTTTTGAATTTTGGCCAAAATACCAAATGAAAGTAGATCCGTTTAAGAATCAGGAACTATCAAGAACCCGGCCCATGAGAGTAGCTGGTAAATTGGAACTGGCGCTGATTCATAATCGTAGTGTAACGTGTATCAAGTTTTTTAAAATACGAAGGTATTCAATTCAAACTTTTAAAAATCTTTTAAAATATAGTTGTATTCAACGATTCATATACTTTAAAAGTTTATAAATTTTATTGAATTTTAAAGGAAAGTTATGTATAAATTGTATAGTATGAGATTTCTCATGATAAACAGAGATTTTGATGAATTCTTAAAATATAATATATTATTATTATAATAAGTGATAAATATTATGATAATAATTATTAATATTATTATAATGTCTTAATCAAATAATAATAATTTCAAAAATTAAAATATGATAGCAAATTATTAGCAATTTTTTTGGAAATATATATTTTTAATTAAAAGTTTAAATTAATTATTTTTGCATAAAAAATATCCAAATAAATTTAATTTATATATAGAGGATTTGAACCCGAGTTACTTTAAATCCATTTTATCCTATTGTCATTTCACATTAACTTTATTAAAGTAATAATTCATATATACATAATAAAATTATGCTAAAGTTCTAATCTATTAAAATAAATTAATATATTGAATAATAATATAATAAAATTTAAAAAAGTTAATATATAAAAATAGTACACCCTCCATTCTAAACAAAGTGCAAAATTTGCTTTGACGTCGATTTTTAAGTGAGTAATATTAGATAATTTAGAAATTATGTGATGTAATTGAGATAAATGTATATTTTATTTTATTTTTTTATTAAGATGATGTGCGGTAGAGATTAAGTATAATTAAATATTTTATATTTTGTAAATGTTGCAGGTGCTTTAGACGGAGGGAGTATTATGCTATAATTATTATACATCACTAATTATATACTCCCTCCGTCCCACATACCGTGTCTGCTACACTATAGACACGGTATTTTAGGAGGGGTGTAATTAGTAGATAATTAAGAATGTATTAGTGAAAATAATTATCCTATAAATTAAGATTAAGATAACTAATTAGTTTAACTAAAATTAAAAAAATAAATTAAAAAGTTTAAAATGAGATTAAAGTGTATAATCATTTTCCAAAAAAGGAAAATGACATGGTATGTGGGACGGACAGAAACGGCAACGTGGAGGAAGTATAATATATAATGGGGACGGACAGAAACGGCAACGTGGAGGAAGTATAATATATAATGGTGATGAAGGTAAAGATAACAAGAATAAAGATAAAAATAATAAATAATTTAATATTTTTTTTTCAACTATATTACATTTTTGTACTTTTATTTAATTATTTGAATATTTATTTATCTACAAATGTGTATAATATAAATTATAAAAATCAATAAAAAAATTATTTTACAATCCTATGAAATCTATACAAATTCATAAACAATCCAAATAAATCTATAAAAATCTATTTAAATCAATACATCAAATCCATCCAAATCTACATAAACTTGGTAGAATTTCTAAATCCACAACAATCCATGGATTTTTTAAAATCCAACTGAATCTTGCAAAATTTTAAATAAATACACCTCTAAATCTGTGAAAATATATCTAAATCAATTAATAAATCTATCAAACTCTGAAATTTGTGACTTTCTAAATCCATAAATTTTTTAAAATAAAAAAAATTCAAAAACTTTCAAATAAATACACCCAAAAATAGTCTCAAATATTAAATTAGATTATATTAGATATGTATTTTAATATTAGAATGGATATTTTAGAATCTACAATTGCTATCCTAAACAAACTAACCAAAAAAACTGCGTTTAAATCCAACTAATAATGTGTATCTAAATTAATTCGGGATCATTAACTATATATATATATATATATGTATATATTCATTGAATTGACTTTCATGTAGAATTTGGGCAATTTTTTTTTTTTTTATTATTTATTTATTTTGATATTGTGGGGACGTGCAGCCGAGTGCGCACTTAGTTTTTATGGCGGAACAACTCCATCGTGCATTAGTTCCGTCTGATCTTGTAGAGCTCATTCTCATGCGACTTCCTGTCGAGTCTCTCCTCCGATTTAAATCCGTCTCCAAGTCATGGAATGATACGATCTCCAGCCGGGAATTCGCCCTTGCGCATCTCCACCAATCCAAGAATAATCCATCGTCGTCGTCACATCGAAACATGTTTCTTTCCCAGTCCCTTCGTAATAAAAATATATACAGCCTCTCTAGATTAATGGAAAACAATAAATGGAAGCGATTGCCGAAATACTACTTTCGGCTGAGAAACCAATCTTGCTGCCATGGCCTAATGCTCGCTTATTCGAGGAGCTTTTCTCGAGTAATCATCTGGAATCCATCAGCCAGAAAGTATACAGATTTGGGATTTCCTTTTCAGAATCGCAGGCAAGTCGAGTGCGGCATCGGATTCGATCCATTATCGGATGATTATAAAATAGTCGCCCACGAGCCATTTACAGAACCGTACACCTTGATTCCATCGACGATACGGTACACCGTGTTTGACAATAGAAACCGGCGTTGGAACGAGTTGAAAACTACGGTGATGGCATTAATGAGAGGTGACATCAAAAACATTTCTGTCAACGGCGACATGATCTATATTAACAATTGTGTTTTTCCAGGAGAAATGACCGAAATCGATCGTTACTATATTAAAATAAATTTCTTCAACATAAGGGACGAGAAGTTTTACAAAATTATGTACAAAACAGGGCGAGGATCGAGAACCGGTAGTACTTCTTATTGTCTCGTTGATTGTTCGTCAACTCACTTTTGCATGCTCATTGGAGACGCGTGCCATGACAAATGCCGTGTTGGATGGAAGAAAACTGGCGGCGAATGGACGGAGTTTGATGATCTGTCGATTCCGTGGATGGAATTATGGATGAAGTCTACCGACACTTGGGATCTGAGGAAGGTTTTGCGTCCGGAAAATATGTGCAAGATGTACTTGGCCGACTACGACGATGATAGAGAGCTTATATTCATTATTTGTCACCGCTATAAAACATGTTTTATAATTTATAATTTGACTCAAAAGAAGTGTAGAGTGATTTTAAAGCCGAAATTTATGTCTTCTGAATGTCTTTGGATGGGACATTTAGATAATCTCTTTTTTAGTTAGCATTTATAGCTAGTTTTGATTTTCTTTTTGTTTTTGTTTTTAATGTAATATTAATTTTCTCCGATGATTTTGTCCGTATTTTTTGACACAATATATATTATTTCCTTGGAATAAAAAACAATGTATATTATTTCCTAATAATTTTTATTCGAATTAAATTTGCCACACGACTAATAAGATCTTCTATACATATATAATTATATTGTGTTATTTTATTTTTTTTTATTATAATTTAAATTTTATATATATTAGAAATAAGATAGATTGTGATTTTTTTCTCGTAGTTTTTATTTATTTTTTATTTTTTCCATCTTGTAATATAAATAAAATAAAATAAAATAAAATGTACATTAATTTAAGTAGAAGTACGTATCGTGTATAGATACCCATCGTATTTTTACTTTTTTTTTTTATTCTATTTTATTTTTATAATATTTATATTTATATTTTTATTCTTTATATTTGGTATTATATAAAATTTATTCTTTATACAATGATAGGTATATTGATATATTTTCTAAAAAATTGTAATTTTAAAAATAATTATTTTTAATATAAAATAAATATATATTTTATTTATTGAATTGGAAGAAAAAGAATACCATGTGAAGGAAAGATAATCCCGATTTGAAAGTGTGAAGATATTTTTTATGGGTATTTTCATTGTATGTACTCTAAATAATATGAGTCATGAATAAAGTATCACAAAATTCATATTATAATTTTTATTCGTCATTTGGTCGAACTTACTCCTTCGTTAAGTCTTACGATTCCATACTGGGTGTGTCTTAGATGTTATTATTAGAAAATAAACATATAATCAAATATGTCAGTGGAAGCGGAATTTAAACAAACCTCCAGCCATTACTAAAAATTAAATTTGTTCTTACTCTTCTCCAAGCCAACGGTAGATTGGAACCGTGGGAAGATGGCGTTGCCAAACTCTGGAACTCTTGGAGGATGTTGCCAAATTTTGGAACCCTGTGAAGATGTTGCCAGATCCTGGAACCGACGTTGCCAAACCCTAGTTCTCAAATAGTGATGGTGTATTCTGATTTTCTAAGAGTATTTATAATAAAAAAGAGAAACCGTCCATCACGATTTCTCAAGTATATTTTTAATGTGATAGATTTAATGAGAGAAAAATGGGCCACAATTTAAGATTAGTTTAATTATATAAGATAATTAAAAATAATCAAAATTCAAATATGATTAATTAATTAATTAAACCAACAGATATGTAAAGATTGTGAATACCAACAATTAATCAATAGTAAAATTTATTTTTAACCTAATATATAAAAATAAAAAATATGTTTGATTTGATATTTTTTTTAAGTAAAAAATTATTGATTAGTAAAATATCCCCCAACAAACACATAAAAGTAGTTCTTGCTGTTTTGCATTTTTGAAAAGGTTGGATAACTATTGGCTTTACTTGAAGGGGCATATTGAAAAATGAGTTATATAATTTCTTAAATAGTATTTTAATATAATTTCTTAAAAATATATTTTTATAAAAAAAAATTGGACAGAGTAACTAGTAAATTTGAAATCACAACCAAACAAACTATAAAATAATTATAATTATATAAAATTAACACTACACAACTCAATTTCTGTTGACGTAATTTTTTTTAGATGAATTGATTTTTGGTGTATGACATAGAAAATTGTGTCAAATATATAAAATATACTCCTTCCGTCCCAAATAAGATGCAATATTTGTTTTGGACACAGGTTTTTAGATGGGTAGTATTAAGTAGGATAATTTAGAAATTAGGTGATGTGATTGAGAGAGAAATGTATATTTTATTTTTTTTATTTGGGTGATGTGATGAGATAAAGTGTGGGGTAGAGATTAAGTATAATTAATTATTTCCTATTTTAGAAATGTTGCAGGGTCTTTGGGACATACCAAAAAGGAAATGTTGCACGGTGTTTGAGACGGAGGGAGTATTATTTTAGGTTGAATATTTTATTTTTTGTAATGAGTATTTGAAGTTTTTTTTTTCTTTTTTTTACTTTTTGACTTCTGTAATTTTTTTATATTGTTTATTATTATTTTTAAGAAATCGCAAATGAAAAATAATATTGGAAAAATAAAAGTGTTTTGCTAAAATAATTAATAAAATCCAATATATGAGCTTCTTGATCATTCTTATCAAATATAGCATTGAAGTCATTGGTAATATTTTTAATAACAAATAAACATTATCTTGTATTTACAATTTTTATTTCTTTTCATTTATGGGTACATATGAGAAAAATAAAAATAATTTATTTGTCGAATTTGAATTTTCCTAACTAAACAAATACAAAAAATAAGAATATTTTTATTTCATTATCTATATTTTTGTACCAAATGTACCTGTATTTTTTCAATTTGGATTCGATTTGAAATTTTGAATTTTTTTTTATTTAAATAATATTTGTTTTAATTTTATAAAAATAAAAATATCTTTTGTATGAAAAACTTAAAGTTTGAATAATAAAAATTATTAAAAACTCAAAACGAACAAACATATATACATATATATATTTACATATTTATATCAGATTAAATTATTATTAATTTCATAATTTTTATTATTTAAAACTTCAAATCCAATTTATCAAAATGTCAAAGCAAAATTTTCGAAGGACGGTTTCGATTACGGTTTATAAATCATCAAATACCAGTTTATAAATTGTCAATATCGTTTTATAAACCGTCGATAATGATTTATAAGTCGTCAATATTGTTTTATAAGTTGCCGGTTACGACTTGAACAGCTGACTTTTATATATATATATATATTTAATATGTTTTTCTTTTTCTGGTACAATTTGTCTAAATTTAAATTTTATTTAGATATATATTTAATATTTATTTATTATGTATAAATTTTATAAATAATAGTAATTAATTAGAATGTTACAATATAAAATTTAATAAAATAATAAATTTAGTAAGTAATTAAATAAAAATTTGAATTAAAAAATAAAAATTATAAAGATATTAGTAAATTAGATAATAAGATCAAACATGATTATATAAAAAAAATTACTATAAAATTTTAAAATATAAATATAACAAATAATAATTATAAATTTTTTATATCATTAATAATCATTTAGTTTTATTAATATTATTTTTATTTTTATAAAATTTAATACTAATATATATTAAAATTTTAATTATAAATATATTACTATTATTATTAAAATACACCATTTTGCAACCCTAATTAATACATTTACCGAACCAGTTCTCCTCCTCTTTTCTTTTTTCTCCAATTCTTTCTTTTTTTTTTTCTTTTTTTTTATACATATATTTGATGGCCGAACCAGTCATAAACCACCGGTTCACGGAGCCGAACCGTCGAAATAACGGTTTTTGGTTCGGTTGGTATTCGGTTTAGATTTGAACCGTAACCGACCGGTTCGATAACCAAAGAACCGGCGGTTCGAACCGAATGGGCAACTCATCAGCCCACTTTAGTCCTGCCTTCAATATGGTTTCACTTCCGCAGAAATCTCGGGTTCAGATTTTCTGCGGCCTACTCCACTTATATCTTTGCATCCGCCGAATCTTGACCGTTGGCTGGTGTAGGACCTACATTTGGGGCAAGTTAAATCCAACGGCGGTGATTCATTTGGTGTTCCGGGTCCCGGGAGCTCTCGATTCACACCTCAAAAATCGTTAACTTGGAGAAACTGCGGTACAATTCGTTGCCTATCGGTTTCACCTTTTCTTTTTATTCCCCACCAAAAATTTCAATTGGTCCATTTGTTCATGCAGAAGGATGGATTTGCGGAGAAGTCGGTCCGGCCGGACGACGCTCCGGGAATGGGACGTGCGTTTATCGGAGTCGGAGAAGATCGAGGGCACCGGCAGTTGGGATGCCATTGAGTGGACCAAAGTTGATGTGCGTGATTTTCTCCTAGGGTTTTAAATTTTGTAGAAATGTCAAATGCTTTTTGTTTTTCTGTTAGAATGAATTTTCATTAAGATTTTGGGTTTCGTTTTAATGTGGTGGGCCTTGTAATCGAAATTTAAGACCTAATGCTTGTAGTTTACAACTAATCGAACACATATGAAACAAGAAACATCGAATCTTTTATATACTTTCTTAATCGAAGGAGTTCGGACTCAGTTTACCCAATATTTCAACCGACTAGCAACACTTACACACAACCTCGACCCAAACACTACCGACATCCACAGAAACGCACAATCAGCGCGATTAACAACCTAATCGAAAGAAATCTCAAGATTCTAAGCCTAAATCATCGCGGACAATCAATTACACCACGAACAGCCCATAAACATAGAATCGAGAAATCAAACCGAAGAACAGCTCTAGAACAAGCTGTAACACAATCACGGTGGATGAACTTCAAGTTCCGATGGCCAAACTCGCCGGAATGCACCAGACAGATCGATCGCGTTCGTCGGGAAAGCTAGGGCTCCAGAGAGTGAATATCGCGATGTGAAGGAGTGAGGATTCGTCTGTCTAGTGAACCGGGAAGCGATGTATATATATATCAGACCCCTTGGACCGGTTTGAGGGCGGTCCAGGGCGGTTCAGGCCAACCGAACCCATCCTCCAATTCATCACTCAATCGGGTCGAACCGCGGGCATGGGATCCGGGTTTCGATAGGTCGGGTCGGGTCGGGTCGAAGTGTAATATGCACAAAACATCACAAATCTCCACCTTTTTGGGCATTGGAGAAAGTGCTTCAAGGGTGTCATCCCTGTCCGAGCTCCAACGATTTAGTCTTTTAACCTGCGGACTTATTAACACGGTTAATGTTCTCAAGTTTTAAAACAACTATAAAAAACAACTCAGCTTCACAACTAACAAAAACAGCTACATGATTAAATATATCATGCTGAAAACAGAATTTTAAACAACAAAAGATACAAACCTTCAAGTTTTAAAGATTCTCCTAATCAAAAGTATCTATATAAACTGTTTTCTTACACAAATTGAATTTTGTTATTGATAAAACTTTTGTTCCCATGTCCGCAGGATTATACTCAGAAGGTATTTTTTCTAGTTTTAAAAAACCCTTAGACACTATATCACGAATGAAATGAAACCTAACATCTATATGTTTCGTTCGATCATGAAAGACTGGGTTTTTACAAAGCTGAATTCCGGATTGACTATCTGAAAAAACTGTTACTTCATTTTTCAAGTAGCCTATTTCATTTAATAAACCTTTTAACCACATACCTTCCTTCAATGCTTCAGTTATGGCCACATATTCCGATTCTGTCGTAGAGAGGGCAACAATATGTTGTAGTTGGGATTTCCAACTAACACAAGAATCACACAAAGTAAAGATATACGACGTAGTAGACTTCCTAGAGTCTCTATCATTCGCATAGTTAGAATCCACATAGCCATTCAGTTTTAACTCATTAGTGTGTTTACCAAATACTAGACCAACTTCAATAGTATCAACTAAGTATTTAAACACACACTTTAATGCACTCCAGTGTTCAACACCCGGGTTAGCCATGTATCTACTCAAACAACTAATAGAATATGTTAAATCAGGCCTAGTGCACACCATCAGGTACATAATAGAACCTACAGCGCTAGTATAAGGCACATTCAGCATGTATTTCACATCAGTTTCAGATTTTGGGCATTGCTCTTTAGATAAAATAAAATTAGAAGTGAGGGGGACAGCAGAAGGTTTAGCATCAGCCATACAGAATTTATTCAAAATTTTCTTAATGTATGAAGACTGATTTAAAAACAGCATGTTATCTTTTCTTTTCCTAAGTATATTCATACCAAGAATTACCTTTGCATCTCCTAGGTATTTCATATCAAACTTCTTGCTTAAACAATCTTTTACATGATTAATTGTTTCCAAACTAGGACACATAATCAACATATCATCAACATATAATAGCAAGAATATGGGATGCTCACATGCTATTTTAAAATACAAACAATGATCAAAATTGCTTCTATTAAATTTCAAAGATTTCATGCATTCATCAAACTTTATGTTCCATTGCCTAGGGGACTGTTTCAGTCCATAAAGGGATTTTTTTAAAAGACACACATGATTAGGATTAGTTTTATCAAAGAAGCCTTCCGGCTGTTTCATGTAAATCCTTTCATACAAATCACCATGTAAAAATGCAGTTTTTACATCTAATTGTTTCAATTCCCAATTAAAATAGGCAACCAAAGTAAGCATGAGTCTTATAGTAGAATATTTAACAACAGGAGCAAAAATTTCATTGTAATCTATTCCCTCCTTTTGTGTAAACCCCTTAGCAACTAATCTTGCTTTAAATCTAACTCCATTTTCATCTTGTTTTACTTTGTACAGCCATTTACAATCAACAACAGAACTGTTAGCTAACTTTGGCACCAAAATCCAGGTTTTATTCTCCTTTAATGACTTCATTTCTTCATTCATTGCATTAACCCACTCATTTCTTTGTTTTGATTTCATAGCTTCACTATATGACCTTGGTTCATTACCATCTAATGATTCAAACACATTATAAGCTAAGGAGATAACATCAACATCAAAATCATCTAACCTAGGGGGTTGTCTTACATTTCGCCTAACTCTATCCCTAGCAAGTTGATAATTTTCCAGATTTTGATCAATATTTTCAGCAATACCAGATTCCATTCTCTCATCAACATCATCAGAACTGATCTCCAGACCAGTCTCTGAATTTCCAGAATTAAAATCTGGATCAGAACTGGTTGTTCTGGTATCAGTTCTATTTGAGGCACTGTGATCAAGTAATTCAGCCTCTAAATTGGCTAAATTATAATGATTTTGCTCCACCTCATTTTGAGTATCATTAGACTCATTAACAGCAGTATTTTCATCATTTAAAGTCTGATTTTGCTTCAAACAGGGCATTTCATTCTCATTAAATGCTACATCTCGACTAACAAAAGTTTTGAAACCTGGTTTAGTGTTTAACCATAGCCTATATCCCTTAACACCCTCGGGATACCCTAGGAACACACACTTCTCAGCCCTAGGTTCAAGTTTATCATTGAAAACACGTATAAAAGCAGAACAGCCAAATACTTTCAGGTTTGAAAAATCAATTCTCTTTCCACTCCACCTAAATTCAGGACATTCACCTTTCAAAGGCACTGAAGGTGATCTGTTAATTAAATAGGCTGCTGTAAGAACAGCCTCACCCCAAAAGCTCTTGGATAAACCCGAGGAAGCAAGCAAGCTTCGAACTCTTTCTAATAGAGTTCGGTTCATCCTCTCAGCCACCCCATTTTGTTGAGGTGTATAAGGGGCTGTTTTATGTCGCTTTATTCCATTTTCAATGCAAAAGCTATCAAACCAAGTATTGCAATATTCTAAGCCATTGTCAGTTCTCAAACACTTAATCTTCTTACCCGTTTGATTTTCAATAGAAATTTTCCAATTTTTAAAAATTTCAAACACATCAGACTTTTGTTTCATTAAAAATACCCAAACTTTCCTTGAAAAATCATCAATTATAGTCAAAAAATATCTTCTACCACCATGTGTGGGTTCACTAGCTGGTCCCCACACATCTGAGTGAAGATATTCAAGGATATCTTTTGAAAAAATCCTACTTTCAGTAGGTTTTTGAGGAAAAGTAACTCTATGATGCTTTCCATATATGCAATTGTCACAAAATGGCACATTTGAGAAATTTCCAGCACCTAAACAACCAGTTTTATGCAGAATCTCCAATCCTCTATTACTTAAATGACCTAATCTCCTATGCCACAACTCAGTGCTGTCATGGACAACATTCACACAAGCATCAGATTCACAAATAGGCACAGCAGACACAATATAGAGATTATTTCTCAAATCAGCCTTGAAAACTACTAAAGAACCCTTAGTTATTTTCATAAAATCCATTCCCCATTTTCCTTCTAGTCCTAAAGAAGACAAACCAGCACAAGAAAGCAAGTTATTTGACAGATTAGGGACATGTCTCACATTGCACAGCTTTAAAACATTTCCAGATTTAAATTTCAGCACAACAGTCCCTATTCCTTTAACACTGCAAACCTTATTATCAGCCATAGTCACATTACAGTTTAAAAGAGTTTTATAATCACTGAAAAATTCCTTAAAAGGAGTCATGTGATAGGTGCAAGCTGAATCTAATAACCATTCATTCTTATTAAAAGCAGTCACATTGGAACATTCAGCAGTAACAGCAAACACTTCACCTAAGCTATCATCATGAGAAATCAAATTTACTTGTTCATTTGAAGAGGTATTAATAGTGGGTGTTCCATTTCTAAAGTTATTGTTGTTGTTATTCAAGTTTCTATTCTTCTTAGGACAATTCCTAATGAAATGTGAAGTGTCACCACAATTAAAACACCGTTTAACATACTTTGAAGGGGTTTGAGATCTATTCCTAGACTTACTCCTAGACTTCTTCTTATATTGACTATTGTAGGAGTTATTCCATTGCTTATTGTTATTTGAAAAAGAGCCATTTTTATTCGGTCTAAAGGGAGATCTACCCCTAACATGCATCACCTCACCATGTGATTGTTTATTAGCTTTACTTAGTTTCAAATCCACTTCTTTACTTTTTAGACCATTTACCACAACATCTAGAGTAATTACATCCCTACCATATTTTATAGCTGATTTTACATCTGAATATGTACTAGGGATTGCATTTAACATAACAATAGAGCTGTAGTCATCTATGTTTTTATCCCCTGTAAGTTTTATATCTTGAATTAACTTTGAAAAAACATCTAAATTTTCATCTATTGTCTTTGAAAGATCTAATTTGAAACTAAAGAACTGTTCTAACAAATGTATCCTATTTGGAAGTGAAGTTTCAGTATACATGTTATTTAATTTGTCCCACAAATCCTCAGCTGAACCATAAGTACCTATTTTTCTAATTACATGGTCAGCTAGGTTTAAAATAATGCACGAAGATGCAAGTTCATCAAGTTCAAACCTTTCTTCAAGAGAAAGGTCTGTTGCTTGATCAGGTTCAACTGCTTTTATCAATCTTTGAGTTACAAGAACACTTCTCATCTTTTGTTTCCAAATTGCAAAATCAGATTTTCCATCAAAAGGTTGTATATTAAAAAATGCTTGACTAGCCATGAATTTTAAAATGAAGAGAAAACCAATCTGTTTTAAGAAAAAGACACAAGAACAGGCCAAATTTCACAAAAAAAAAGCTACTGGTCCTTAGAACAGATTCACTGAATCGCTTTAAAAACAGATTTATTGTTTATAAAATCTCAACAAAAATATCCACCAGATAAGAATGCTCCAGAACAGAGAAAACTGAATAGTAACTAATCCAATGGTTAGTTTCTTGAGAAAACTAACTTAGGAGCAGTTAATATTTCATAACACACAACCAGCTTTGCACAAACTGCTCTAACTAACACTTTAACTGTCACAATAACCTCAAACAGCCACACTTATCACAGAAACAGCCACTTAGCACAAAAACAGCCACTTAACAAACTCAAATCGCCACACTTAGTCACCCCAAAACTGAAATCTCACAAAAATATGTAACAGGGTTAGGAATGTTACCCACTCCAAGCTCCGCAACTATTCTTTGACTTTCTTTTCGTAATTCAAGGCCTCCAACCTGTAAAATCCTTCCAACTGCGCACTTAATACACAAATTAGTAAAGTTTGGATGAATCAATCAACAAGGAACTACCCAAATCAACCAAACAAGGATGATTTCAAGTCCTAATCTCCTACAGGCCTATCTTAGTCCTTAATCAAGGAGATCTAAACTTTACAGAAGTGAAAACACCATAAAAATTCAGTTTTCACTTCGACAGAACAGTAAACAACCAAGACTTCGAAAACCTTGAAATTATTTACACAAAACCTTCGGATTTTACAGAGAGAACTAGGTGTTCACTCCAGGAACTCGAAAATCACGATTCCAGTAAACTAGCAAGCCCTAACTAGCTCTGATACCACTTGTAATCGAAATTTAAGACCTAATGCTTGTAGTTTACAACTAATCGAACACATATGAAACAAGAAACATCGAATCTTTTATATACTTTCTTAATCGAAGGAGTTCGGACTCAGTTTACCCAATATTTCAACCGACTAGCAACACTTACACACAACCTCGACCCAAACACTACCGACATCCACAGAAACGCACAATCAGCGCGATTAACAACCTAATCGAAAGAAATCTCAAGATTCTAAGCCTAAATCATCGCGGACAATCAATTACACCACGAACAGCCCATAAACATAGAATCGAGAAATCAAACCGAAGAACAGCTCTAGAACAAGCTGTAACACAATCACGGTGGATGAACTTCAAGTTCCGATGGCCAAACTCGCCGGAATGCACCAGACAGATCGATCGCGTTCGTCGGGAAAGCTAGGGCTCCAGAGAGTGAATATCGCGATGTGAAGGAGTGAGGATTCGTCTGTCTAGTGAACCGGGAAGCGATGTATATATATATCAGACCCCTTGGACCGGTTTGAGGGCGGTCCAGGGCGGTTCAGGCCAACCGAACCCATCCTCCAATTCATCACTCAATCGGGTCGAACCGCGGGCACGGGATCCGGGTTTCGATAGGTCGGGTCGGGTCGAAGTGTAATATGCACAAAACATCACAGGCCTTTTGATTATATATGTATATGTGATTTCTTTGGCAGCCTGTTTCGAGGTCTATTCCAAGTGCTCTGCAACAATTTTTGATTGAAGCGGAGCAAGTTATAGTAGAGGTAATGCCTTTACTTTGAATGATTATTTTAATAATGTATGGAATGATCGAATGCTCTGATTTTACCAAATCTGAAGAGTTTAAATTTAATTCTGGATCATTGGATATCTAGCATATACAAAACTCTAGATGCTCCAAGAGAAATTTTTTATAGTGCCCTTCCTTCCTTACCTGATTTTTTTTTTTTGTGTGATAATTTTCTGTTATGAAGTGTAAGCTAGTCTTTATGCTTCAATCTTTCTGTTATTCATTCTGAGCCATACTTGTTTCTGCTCGAATAATCTTGAAACAATATTGAGAGGCAGTTACTCATAGTAGGAAAATCTTTTTACAGAGTGATGGATCTAGAAACATTATAGGACTTGGAACAATTCCATTGGCAACAATTGAGAAGTTCAGCAAAATTGTAAGTTGAGCAGTGTTTTATGTTTCTTCATAGCTATACTTTGTTAATCTTTATATTCTTGCTTCAAGATGCCACTAGTCTTTTTGTGTTTTTATTTGCGCCAAAACAACCTGTTTGCTTCTGAAAACATTTTGAGACTTTGCTTTCTTTGATCAAGTGCACCTGCAATCTGGCGATTTCGTTGCTTGTCCTTAATTGATATAGACGATATTACCTCTTTATTTGCCAATTCTCTTAAATCAGGGTGTGTTTGGATGTGTTTTGGAAGGTTCTAGGTTTGAAGTTTTTTTTAATGGAAAATAGGTTTTAAAAATGATGTTTTGTTTGGACATGCTTTGGAAAAATGATAAATAGTTTGTGTTGTAAGATGGGTAATAAATGATTTAACAAGTGTGAGTATAATGAATCAGATTTGTTAGTTATTGAAAATAAGCCATATTACAAAAATCCAAGCTTACAAGGCAAGTTAGTTGCGAAAGGATACACAGACACAGACATATGGAGTAGATTATCAAGAAACGTTTGCTCCAACGGCAAAGATGGAGTAATAAAGGTAAATAGTTTTTAAAGGTAATTTGGTTGAGGGAATCCAGTTAATAAATAGTTTTCAAAAGTAATAAATAGTCTTTAATTTTACTGGATTTAATGAAGTAATTATAGGACAAAATTACAGGATTTGGTTGACTGATCTGATCTCTTGGGAAAAAGTTTGATTTGAATTTAGTATTAAAATAATGTTTGATGAAATATTTTGTGAAAGTAAAAAGTGTATTTTTTTAGAAAACGCAGAGACTAAATAGTAAAAAACTGAGGGTTTGAGGCTAAAGAAACACACCCGTATTTGCCTTGTTTAAGCATAACATCGTACTCTTCCGTCTCTGCTATCATGTTCGCTGAGTATAATTAGTAAATAAATTTAAATTAGATAACTAATTAGTCTAATTAAAATTAAAAAATTGTAAATTAAAAATTTTAAAATTAAATCAAAATGTATAATTAATAGATGGAGGGACAAATTATAAATTTAAAATATTAAAATAAAATTAAAATATATAATTAATAAGTGAAAAAAGTAAAATAGAAAAGTGAACATAATAAGTGGCACTAAAAAATATTAATATAAATACATATATAGTGCGTTTATTTGAAGGATTATATTATAATACATATATTATTTTTATGAATTAAATAATAATGAGACTAACTAATACTATGATCTTCACTTTATTTGATTAAATATAAAATAACATAAATTTTAGTATAAATATTATTTGAATAAATTAATCTTATCTATCTAGTTAGTATTAATTATTTTTAATTAACATATTAATATAGCAGACTTTAGTATATAAAATAATATTATATTATTATATTTTTTAAAAGTATATAATAATAATAATATTTAAAAATTAATATTTAAAGTAGAATAGCGTTGGATAAATCTACAAACTTCTGTACTTTAGTCTTCACTTTTTCACTTTTCTTTCTTTCTCCTAACCCACAGCGACTCTATCGTCTTCCTCCGCCGCTCCACCGCCGCTGAAGAATGCCTCAAATGGAAGAATCCGAGGAGGAGAAGAACAATCCTATCATAATTTTCTTCACCAATTTGCTTTATAGAATCAAGCTGCCGTTTCCACCGAAGAACACTGCCAGCGAGAAGGATGAGCCAGCCGTCGCTTCTGTTCGCGCGGAGGAGCCTCTTATTGTAAAGTCTCCGGCGGCGGAGGAGGAGGATGAGAGAGGAAAGCCTGGCGTGGTGGCTTTTCCGAGGCGGAGCTTTGTTCCGTTGAAGCTGGAGGAGGCGGACGCTGAGGCGGCTGAGCGGAGTACTAATCCGGCGGTTCTTTGGCAGGTATTTATGTGTGATTAATGAATCTGTTATTGCATTGGTTTTAGGTTTTGGTGTGTAACTCGATTTTGATTCGGTTGCGGAAAGGATGATTGATTGGGCGATTGTGGTTGGTGACTGATTGTGTTTGAATTGAGATTATTTGATTGCGACATATGCGGTGTGATTTGATGTAGATAATTCGATTATCTTCAAGCCGTACAAGATGCATTTTCTATGGCTGTGTATCTTTTTAGGTTAAAATTATCTTTACTCTGAATCTATTCCACGATTCTTTTGTGCACAAAAACGGATTATCTTCAACTATATATGCCTGAATCTGACTGTGGTGCGAAATTTAGTTGATCTTGATTTTGTTTATTATGTTGCTTTACTTTCTCATAATCTGAAGCACAATTGCAGTGGGGCTATTAGTTTGTATCAATCAGATCCTATTTGTTGGCTTAGAAATACCTTTTTGTATTCATAGTATGGATTTTAACAAATTTCTTTTCATTTTAATAAATATTTGAAAAAAAAGAGAGTCATATAAGGAATTTGATGGCACTAAATTATCACTTCTTGTTGGAAAAAGTGTTTGTGAAGTAGTGATTGACTTAAGACTTTAACATTGATAGTATCAAATTGGTGTTAGCTGGGAATGGATTACAAACTTTGGAAAGATAAAGATAATTAATGAATGGTAGTCAATTGTCAGGGTTAGTATAACTGAATAATGTATATATATATATATATATCACTTCGGTTAGGTGCGGATTGGGGATTTATCGGTACCATATTGATTGCTCCAATTAGTACATGAAAATACTATAGATAGCATATGAAAAACAGGCCTCATCCTGTTGTTTTAAATTTCCATTTTGAATCTTCTGAGTGTTTCGGTTAATGTAACAGGTCATGATCTATGTCTTAAAAGAAGGTTTCTTGATTATCTCAAACACTTATGCAACTTGCCTTGCTCACTACCTACTCTGTTCTGTTCTGCAGGTCCTAAGCATTCAGCAGATCTACAGAATCAGCACAATGTCTTGGGGATGACAAAAACGCCACAAAAAGCTTATCGCCGCATCTAAATCTTTGTCAATTCTCATCATACCATCAGATACATTTCCGGCATTGGCCTTCCAAAAGATTATCTAACCATTTCACATGTGGCTGATGTGATTTTTCTTATTAACTTTCTGAAAGTGCTGCAATGTATTTTTTGGATAAGATCTTCAATGCATCAATTGACTTTTGTGTAGATACAAAATGCTTGTTATTTGCTAATATTGTATGCTATGTTACAAAACTAGACGTCCAACTAGATATTACATAGTATTCGGATATTCTCTTAATGACAAATAGCAAAGATCCGTCGTGCATTATATCTAAAGACCTTCACAGGATTACAAAACCATACCAAAAATGATGACATTCCATCAGATGAAATGGCTGGCTGTCTCTCGACTATCTAAAAATAGTTCATTTAAGAGAATTTGGACTTGAGAATATATATATATATATATATATACAAAAACATGCAACATTAAGGCATAAGTTGGAAAATACCATATTTAGACACATCTCAGATTGAGAAGAACTGGCAGATGATTCTGATCTGTCACAGAAGACAAGACCCCTTTTTTACATATCAGCATTGCTGAATTAAAATTACACACTATCCTCTTCCTTTTAAAAGTATTAGTCCATTATCATTATTAAATTTTAAATTTTAATTTATATTTTATATTTTTTATTATTATCCAATTCAAATTTTATTTTTAAGATTAAATTTAAAAATCTAATATTATTTCTCTCTTTTATTTTTTTTTTCTTATATATATATATATATATTTATCTCTTCTTCTTAATCACAAAGCGCTGCATGTTTAGAAATTCAATCTGTCCTCTACACCTTTTCCCTTTCACGTCCTTGCCGCGCAACGCCAACCCACTCAGACCAAAACTCACTTCTCCCTCTTTCTCTATTTTCTCTTTCATTTTTTCTCACTATTCAAGCCTTCAGACGAAGCGCCCTCAGTTCGATTTCCATTTTTTTGTTCAGAGTCAACACCATGAAGCACTCTCAGTTCGATTTCCATTTTTTTTCTTCGGAGTCAACACCATCATCAGACCGTTCAACTTCTTGTCTAGCCAACGCTAATATCAGTGATATCATTTTAAAAATATATTTAATCGTGTATTTATAGGGCCTAAAATTTATTTTTGCTCAGGGCCCCAAAAAAGATCGAGACGTCTCTGTAACTCTATTCGCTATAGCATTTTCCCGAGGCCTTGCATCAGCAATATATAACTCTTTCCTACAAGTGAACAACTTATTCAATCAAAAGTTTTTTTGTTTTTCTTTTTTTTTTTTAAAAAAAAATTATTTTATTTTTTCAATGTAATTGCAACCATATTACTAAAAACCTCAATCATGAAGATTCGCTTACACTTAGTAAGCATGATAGAGATCACGCGTTCCGCAGTTACAAACATATTCCCGCCATTTTCTTTCTGCCTCACCACAAACACACTAAGCAGTGTTATATTGAAATATAAATACGCAAATTTACGCAACTCACTAATCTGTTAAGCAGTTTCTCCCCTTCTCTTCTCTGTTAAGCAGTTAGATGACTTGACGACCAAACAACCATGAATGCGCAGGAACCTCGCGTCCAAGTTGTGAAGGCCGCCAACAACAACAACAACAACGGCAGTAATATCTGTAGCATCTTATCGCGCAGAGAATTGTCGTCCAGAGCACCCAAAAGTTTTTTGAGGAGGAACTGCAATGCTGCTATTGGATCATGGTATATGCAATTAATGCTTTATTCATTGTTGTAGACGTGTGTAAAGTAGTTTGTATGCATATTTATATCTATATAAATTCACAGGGCAGAGGGCATGTCCCTCAGGAATTTATCGAGCTCATTCTGCAGTCTAGAGCCTCCACCCGAAGTACAAGTAAAGAAAGTGAAGTCGACAACCTTCAATGCTGATGGAACAATGCTTGCGGCGAATCTGTTAGTTTATTATTTTCTCTTCGTGTGCATTTGGAAAATTCAATTTAGCTTGCCAAAACTGTTAGATCTATCATGCTATTAATATATAAGTTGTCTATATATCATCTCATGAATTTATCAAACTAGAAATATCATAGGCTCAGTCAATAGCTTGCTGCTAATATGGTTGTTTATATTCTCTCTGTTTGCATGTGCATAATTCAATTTAGCTTGCCAAAATTGTTACATCTGTGACGCTGTTGATATATAACCTGTCTATACCTCATCTCATGAATTTATTAAGTTCGCACAAAAGCCTTCGGTGCAGATGGAAAAATGCTTAATCTGTTAGTTTATTTTCTCTTTGTGTGCATGTGCATAATAGCTAAAACTGTTACATATATCATGCTATTAATATAGGCTGTCTATACCTCATCTCATGAAGTCAATAGCCTTCAATGCATATGAAAAAATTGCTTGCTACTAATCTGTTAGTTTATTTTCTCTTCGTGTCCATGTGAATTAATTTGCTAAAACTGTTACATCTATGATGCTATTAATACTTACACAGAGTATATGGTACGAAGTTAATTGATACTCAAACTGAAAGATGCATACAGTTGGCTGATTCTATACATGTAATTTGGCCGGTAAGCTGTCTATTGATTAGGTTCATTCAACTGTCATAAGCTATATATCATCTTTTAGAATTCAATGTATAAACTGTTCATCTAACTATTGGGGCTTCTGTAGGCTAACTTCCATCCGATTGATCGTGATGTTCTTACAAACAGAACAATGATGGCACAAGTATCAGTGTGGAATGTAAACACTTCAGCCTATATTAGAATGCGTGAATTTGGTAATTTCAAATTTTATATTGTTCAATACATTTATTTATTTATCTATTAAAAAAACACTTTGTTAATGCAGTTTTTCTTTAATTTTTCTTGCCACTTTGTAGATACGATTCCAAGATTTTTATCCTTCCATGCCCAAAAAGAAATCTTAGCAGTAGGCACTGAAGATGAGGTTAGCATTCAGAGAAAAACAAATATTATTAACCTTGTTTGATATTATGAAAGCTTCTATGAGCTAACTTTTTGTATGCAACAGATTTTTATATGGCAATATAGAGAGGGATTGGAAGAAGAAGATGGAGAGGCAGTGGATGAGGAAGAAGAAGATGCAGAGGAAGTGGATGAGGAAGAAGAATATGGAGAAGATGGAGAGGAAATGGATGAGGAAGAAGGAGATGCAGAGGAAGTGGATGAGGAACAAGAATATGCAGAGGAAATGGATGAGGAAGAAGAAGATGCAGAGGAAGTGGATGAGGAAGAAGAAGATGGAGAATATGGAGAGGAAATGGATGAGGAAGAAGAAGATGGAGAGGAAATGTATGAGGAAGAAGAATATGCAGAGGAAGTGGATGAGGAAGAAGAAGATGCAGAGGAAGAAGATGATGCAGAGGAAGTGGAACAAAATCCTATCCTAAGGACCAATGATACTCTCCGCTTGGTCTGTTTTCATCCTTGTGTTGCACGATGTCTTCTGACGGCTGAGGTTCTGTTTTGTGCAGTTATTTTTTTATTTTTTATTTTTACATTATTCTCAATATATAATTTTTATAGTGATTGTCTTTCAGGAGTGCATCTTTGGTAATTCAGGTATCCAATATGCCAAAACAGCATGCTTGCTTTACATCCCTCCAACTCTAGATTTGTCGGATGCACGGCCTAGTGAATCGCCAACTCCGTATGCTAATGCATGGATTGGAAAAGGCTTAACTGATATTAGAATATGGCACTATAATCTCAATAATCCATACAAACATCTTAGACGTGCCGACTGCTACTTAACAATTCCCAATGTTGTAGTTCGTAGGTACGTAAAATTGTCTACTGTTTGCTCTTCTGGAATTGGTTGGTTTCATTGATGGATATTAACATGATTCCCAATGGAAATTGGCATATGTTTTCATGAAAATTTTAGACCGTCTTTATTAGGTTGTAAAAAATTACATTTTACATGATTAACCAGGAGATTGCCTTTAATATTAAGATTATTATCATTTTTCCTTCTCTCTCATAGACGAATGACATCAAATGCTGACATATGATATTATTTTTCTAGTGAAATGGGTGCTCATTGTTCTCCATGCGGAAGATATTTAGCGGTTTGTTTAGCATGTAAACTAAGACATGATGATTGTGGCGCCTCAACTTCAACAACTAAACAAGAGAGATCCTCATCCAAAAAATTTGTATTTGAATTAAGAATATATTCTCTTGAAGAGACTACGTAAGTCTTGTGTTTTCTTGCACGCTACAAGTTTACCCAATTCTAATATTTATTTTTAAGCTGATGTTTGTTTTCCTTTTTATAGCTTCGGTTCTATTTTGATGTCTCGTATGATCTTGGCACCACAATGCTTGACTTCAATACAGGTTAGTAGTGTTATCTAATTTGGTGTTTCAATATTTCTGATTCATCGATTTGAATGTCGAAATACTTATCATTTTATAATTTATTTTTATTTTCATTTGGCACCTTTCTAGTTCTCGCCTACCTCAGAACACTTACTGTTAGCTTATGGCATTCAGCACGATTCACTTCTCAGACGCACTCGAATTGAGAGAGGGGTGAAAGTATTGAGTTATATAATTCTAGAGGTGAGAATTATGTGTAGAATCACATTTTTTGTTGTGCATACTTTGGCGAGCTGTTGTTTTCACTTATGATTTACTAAAATTGAGATATTTTGGCAACTCCAATTCATCATGTCATTTTGTCTGTGTGTAGTGTGAGAAAGCTCAAATTGCAATATTTGGTTGAATTCCACTTTAAGACCTACTGGCATAAAGGATTTTAGGATACACAAAGTCTTATATGTCTATATCTTGTGTATTCAGATAAAATATACCAGTGGATCATGAATGGTCTTGATATCAAGAATGACAAAACTATACCGAGCACTAAATGCATTTTGTGTGTGTGTGTGTTGACACAATACTCAATTTCTTCCAAGTACTTAAATTCTTTGTATGGTTTCTCAGATATACAGGGTTCGTGATTTGCAACTTATTACGATTCTTTCCAGCACAAAAGAAATGGCAACTGCAGCATGTTTCCATCCTTCAAGTGGTGGAGGCTTCGCGTATGGAACTAATGTACATGAAAAAAACTTTTTTACTTTTGTTGATGTTGTTGTTGTTATCTTATGTTTTACTCGTACATCTAATCTGGCCATTATTTTCATATAAATAATGTTAGGATGGAAATGTGCGTTTTATGAAATGGGATGGCTCTCGAAATGATGAACCAGAGGAGGTTCATGAAGTCAGATTGGAGGTCAGAAAGAATTATTCTTGCTATTATTATTCATTCCTTTTGTATATACCCTCCCTAGCTTATCGATGAATTGGTCATTGAATCCCAAATTAAAATAAGTCAATGCATGAAATCATGAATCCATTAGGCATTGTTGTTTAATCCATGTGTTTGTCCTGCCCTATTTTTGTGTATTTACTTTTGATTGCTTAAATGGCCTTATGCTTATTGGTTAAAGGTTTAGAGATTTGCTCGATCACAAGGGAAGGGTGGCCAGCATATTAACAGAGCATATTATTGATTGAGGTTTGTATAATTCCAAATTTTCTTAAATCGATATCTTTTGGTGTTTGTGCATGCATATATTCAGACTTTTGATCTAGCTTTTGTTGCCCTTTCAAATTCATCTTAGCTTTACTTTAATTTTCTGAGTTCCAAATGCCTAGCTAGCATCTCATGCAAAAAATCCATTTTTTGTTTCTTGTTGTTTATATTCCGCTTTACACACACATCTAATATGACCATTGTTTTTTTTATCTAAATAATGTTAGGATAGAAAGGTGCGGATTCTCAAATGAGATAGGCTCTCAAAATGATGAATACGATGAGGATTTCTGAAGTCATATTGAAGGTTAGAAAGCATATCTACGTACATACATATACATTCAGACGTACATACATACATACATACATAAATACATACTTACGTATAAGCTCGATGTTTACACATTTTTTGCTGCCATATATAATAATGTCATTTCTTTTATATATATGGATTGATTCAAGAAGGTACAGGTTATTCTGTATCAAATATTATGACACAAATAGCTAATATATTAAGTTGGTCAAATAAGCTAATTGAATCACCAATCTCTTCCGAAAGCCATTCGTACAATGTATCACCACGTCGAATTTGCCCCGTAGCAAGACTTTGTCGAAAATGCCTAAGCATTTCTTTACTTTTACAAATTCTCACACACACAGCACTCCTTGAAAATGTCTCGAGCTTGTTCGTGTTTTTCGAAGAACGCTACCGCTGCGGCCAAGGCCGTCCCTGGGCCCGGGCGAAAGGGGTGCCCGCCCAGGGCCCAATCTAAATTAGGGCCCATTATTTAATTATGTTATATATATAACTTATTTGACATTAATTAATTAATAGAAAAGCATGGCTTGGTGGTTAAGTTTTTATCTAACATTCAAAATTTAAAAATATTTTTTTACGCATTAAAAAAGAATTAGACAAAGTTAATATTAATAGTATTATTGATATTTTGCATATAAAAATATTAGAAAATTTATTTTATTTAATTATTTATATTTTATTATAAATAAAAACTATATTATTTATACATATTTAGGGGCCCCTAATTTTTGTTTTAAAATTGTTAATGTTAATACTATTATTGATATTTTATCTAAAAATTCTAAAAAAATTATTTTATTTAATAATTTATATTCTATTATAGGTAAAGAAAACATCGGAGTAGATCATTTATATATATTTAGGGGTTTTTAATTTTTGTTTTAATTATTTTTTTTTGCACTAAAAAGATAATAAATATTAGACAATTATTATTATTATTATTATTATTATTATTATTATTATTAGACAAAATTATCAATAACTCCTTTAATTATACTTTAAAAATTGCATGAAACCCCTTATACTTTAAAAAATGTTTCATGAAACTCATTTATATATATATATGTTTTTTTTTATGATGAGAAGATGACTTTTCATTTATATTTTTTGCATGGCGAGGGTTTCAGATAGCGTTTGTTAAAATATAAGGGAGCGTTACGCAATTTGTAAAGTATGTGAAAATTTATACTAAGGGGGTATATTCAATTGAGATTTTAATGGATTTTTTTGGATTTTAAAAAGTTTATGGATTTATGTGGATTTAGAAAATCCACAGAGTCTACGTTGAGTTTGATGGATTTTAGTAATTGATTTAGATGGATTTCTACGGATTTGATTGAATTCATTATGGATTTATATGAATTTTGTAGGATTGTAAAATAATTTTTTTAATATATAGTAATTATATAAATTTATATCAAACAACAAATTTTATAAATATAATAAATAATTATTAATAAGATAATATTTAATATTAATAAATAATATATAAGTATTAATAAATAATATATATGTAAAAAGGTTATATTAAAATAAATAAATAAATAATATATAATTTTTGAAAAAAATATTAAAATAAATAAATAAATATAAATTAATGGTTCAACAAAAAATATATATTTAAATATCTATTTCACCGTTATCGTAATGATAATATAGTGTATTCGATAATTGAAAAGAAAAGACGACAGTAATATAATAATATTTTTTAAAATTATATTTATAATATTAAAATGTATATTTAAAAAGAAATCATAATAATTTGCTAATATTTAAATTATTATTTTTATTAAAAATTATAATATTAGTAATAAATATTATCATATTATTGATCACATATACAACAACAACAACAACAATAATAATAATAACAATAATAATAATAATAATAATAATAATAATAATAATAATTTTAATAATCCATGAAAATCTGTGATGGTAAGGAGATATTCTGTTCTATACAAAAGTCTATATTGAATACCTCAGGATTTTAAAAGACTTTTAAAAGTCTGGACTGAATACCTCTAGATTTTAAAAGACTTTTAAAAGTCTTGATTGAATAAACCCAGATTTTGAAAGTCCAACAAAATCCTACAAAATCTATATTGAATACATCCCCTAAGTTTCGAAATTAAATTTATGCTAGAAAAATTGTTTTTTTTTTTTTATATTTTATTATAGGTAAAAAATATTATATATATATATATTTAAGGGCCCTGACTTTTATTTCGCCCCGTGCCCTTCGAAAGTCAGAAACGGCCCTGGCCGCGGCAACAACATCGGCAACGCGCATACGACCATTTGTTGATTAACTGCCAAATTCGGTATGTAGAATCAGATGCCATGAATCTTTGGCCGGAAGATAGTGCAATGTTTGTACAATTGTACCATCCTTCTTGCGACTATGTCGAAATACTCTCGTAACGCTTCTACGATAGCGTCGCTGTCCAAGAGATCTCCTTCAAGGATTTTAAATGTGATTAGAAAATCCTTTATATCCTCGGCACACATGTCCGAAAAATAGATCTCACTGCAGTCGCCAATGTTGTCGCTTTTGTTCTTGTTTGAACAGATTGCGACAACCGACAGCTCGGGGATTGTCGCAACCTTTATATAACATCTGAGAACGACCATGCTCAAGAGCCGCCGACGCTCCTCGTGACGACATTCGGTATAGCATCGTAAGATTCAAAGAATGAGTAAGTCCGACTAGATAACGAAGCTATAGCATACAGTGTGATTGGTTTTGACCTGTTATTAAAAATAAAGAAATAGATCGAGATTTTATTAACTAAATCGATTAGAAACTTTAAACTTGGTAGGCTCTGCCCCAAAACTACTCGAAAATACAAAATCGACACAATACACACTATAAACGCGACAAACACAAACAAACCGGTCCGAAACCCACGAAACACGACGAAAAACAAAGCAGACAGCTAAACAGTGGACAGAAAAAAGGAACTACACAAACCGATCACAAAATCTCGAATCGAACCCCTTACAGTTCAAAAACAAGAAGGGTGGCTGAAAGCAACACCTATTCTCCACAAAATTCTGGAGAAAATGGCTCGCCGGAAGTCGATTTTAGTGAGAAGTTGGAGAGAAAGCGGGAGAAGAGAGAGAGAGATGAATTATGTGTGACGAAGCATCTCTCCCCACAAATATATATGTAGATTAAAAAGAGATGGACGGCCACGATCTCAACCCTAAATAGACGGTTGAGATCTAGTCTAATAAAAAGGATGCGGATTGGGTCGGGGTGACGGGTCACAAATAGGAGCGGGTCA